TGTATTTTTTTTTTTTACAGATAGTTTATTGTCAAGTTGGTTTTCATATAACACATGGTGCTCATCCCCACAAGTGCCCTCCTCCATGCCCATCTCCCCCCTCCCCCCCCACATCCATGAATCTCAGCATTCAAGAGTCTCTCATGGTTTGCCTCTTTCCCTCTCCCCCACCATTTCTCCCCTTCTTCTCCCCCATGGTCCTCCGTTAAGTTCCTCCCAATCCTCCTATATGTGCAACCATATATTTGTCCTTCTCTGCCTGACTTATTTCACTCAGCATAACACCCTCAAGGTCCATCCACGTTGCTACATATGGCCAGATTTCATTCTTTCTCATTGAAATGTAGTATTCCATTGTATAGATAAACCACATCTTCTTGATCCATTCGTCCGTTGATGGACACTTAGGCTCTTTCCATGTTTTAGCTATGCAACAATTATTTCAAAATAAAAAGTTAAAATTTAAAAATGTGTCTTCCTGATTGTCATGCAAAGCAGATACTAGTAATCTGATAAACCTGTTCCTCCGAGAATGCAAAGTAGGGACACAGAAGTGACTTCCTGATGTGAAAGAGCAAGAAAATATGGGAAGGATATGCTGCACTGGGCGGAGTTCCTGAGTAAATTCTCAAATAAACCATAAGGCTCTCCCCACCTCTCCCACCCCAAATACAAACTGAAAATAGCTCAGAATTCCTTAGGGGGAAGAAAACCCTCAGTTTCATAGTGACATTTTAAGTGGCTGCTGCTGCTTCGTTGCTTTTTCTTTTCCAGTATAACTCAGCACTGTCTAAAAGGTCTTGCTTATTAGGAAGAAAGGACTTATTAGAAGAAAAGAAATGTCTTTCAGAAAAGACATTTCTGAAAAGCTTAGGTGACTTTGGGTCAAAGCTTTCCTGATTCCCAGATCCTGCAACATTTCTTCTCCAGAGATGACCACTTAAACCCGTGCATGTGTGCACATCAACAGGTCCTAAACTCTGGCCAGTCTTCCTCAGAAGCAGAAGAGGTTTAAGCAATTAGAGCCCAACCCAGCCTACCCTTCCGGCACCCTCCATAGAGTCACCTCTACATTAGTTCTCTTCTAATCTAGTGTCTAAAATCTTGAGATTCGCTTCTCTTCTTGGGCTTCAATTCAGATGACTGCCTTATTCCCTGAGCTAGAGAATCTCCCTTTATGGCCCTGGAACTCTATGTGAACTTGGCTCCTTCCAGGTTATCCTCTTTTTCTTCTCTTCTCCCTTCTGCATTCACACTCTTAAAATCAAAGCCAAGTATCAGGCTCTGATCTAGACAAACTCTCCCTCAAATAGTACTTGCCTCACTGAACCCTTGTCCCGCCTTCTGGAGTCACAGCCTGATGGTGAAATTAGGGAACTTCTCACTTAGATCAGTGATATTTAAATTACCCTGTGGAGTCTTAGGATTTCCATGAGAGTGACTCAAGGGCCACTATAGGAAGATGGGGACTAGAAAATCCAGCTGCCATAATCCTTCTTTGAGTAACAGAGAGCCTCTGTGATCTGTTTAGTGTATTATTCTTCCATATAATATTTTGCAGTTCCACTATCCATCCTTGGGACCTCGGGCAAGTTATTTATTTTCTCTGTGCTTCACTTCCTTTATTTGTGAAGTCTTGATAGTAATAGTATTTATCTTACATAGTTTTAAAATTTAAGAGTCTCATGCTCTACCGACTGAGCTAGCTGGGTGCTGAATCGTTTTAAATTTTAAATAAGTTAATATTCATGCAACAATTCCAAAACTACCTGACACATACTTAGTGCTCAGTAAATATTATTACCGTTACTGCTATTGTCATTAAACAAAATATTTTGCCATTAAAAAAGAAAAGTTTAAAAATGTGGATAAAGGTCATTCTCACATTCAATGAAGGAATCAGCTTTACAGGGTCCAGGACAAGTATTCACTTGACTTTCAATGAGACATTTAAAATGATAAGATCCTCATTACCTGCAGTCATTATCCAACATTACTGATCACCACAAAGTTTGTTTTGCTATCAAGGTCAGTGTCTATTATCTCCAGTAAAGCCACAAAGATACATCATTTACTTATTTTAAGACAGTCCCTAAGTGCTTTCTGATCTTTTCTTCAGGCCACTGTCACCGTTATTATATTCACTATCATGATCATTATCGTCAAATACCAAAATTTGTTAAGAGCTTACTATGTGCCAGACCCTGGATAAGTACTTACATATACAATCTCATTTGAAACTTACAACAACCTTATGATGATAGTGTCATTAACTTTATTTTGTAAGCTTGTTAAAGAAAAATTATTTGACACTTATTAAAATGATAAGAAAGGTGTCATTCAGGGTATAGTCTTGAATACTCCTATTGCAATAGGAGAGAGAAACTGGGCTCAATTCTGAACAAAACAAGTGGGGATTTATAGCCAAGGAGCAAGTTGAGGGAGTCAATAGATGGAAAATTACCAACACTAGTTACCAAGGATAGGGAGGATTCTTGCTAAAGGTTGGCTAAGAACTTATGTATTAAAAGTGGTGAATGAAGAACTTGATCACATATCAAGAGTGATCAGATACCAAAGGTAGAGAGATGACAAGCAGGATTCTATGCTAAGACAGAAAGGGGCAGGCCAAAGGCATGAGATAGAGGTAAGGTGGGGAGCAAGGTTAAGGCCTAGTGAAGAAAAGGACTCAGAGGAGCCTAACTAAAGTTTAGTCAAGGAGAGAGTCCTTGTAAAGCTATATAATGAAGACAGTGGAAAAGTTTCTCATTATTGATGGTATACCCAAGTTCAAATATAGTTTCTTTTTTTGTTTTTATTTTTATTTAAATCCAAGTTAGTTAACATATAATGTAATAATAGTTTTAGGAGGAGAATTTAGTCATTCATCACTTACATATAACATCGAGTGCTCATTTCAACAAGTGCCCTCCTTAATACCTACCACCCATTAAGCCCATCCCCCCATGTATTACCCTCCACACATAACAACTCTGTTTTCTGTATTTAACGGTCTCTTATGGTTTGCCTCTCTCTCTATTTTTATCTTATTTTTCCTTTCCTTCCCCTATGTTCATCTGTTTTGTTTCTTAAATTCCACATATGAGTGAAATCATATGATATTTATCTTTCTCTGACTTATTTCACTTAGCATAATACATTCTAATTTCATACATGATGTTGCAAATGGCACGATTTCATTCTTTTTGATTGCCAAGTAATATTCTACTCTGTGTGAGTGTGTGTGTGTGTGTGTGTGTGTATCTATATCTATCTGTCTGTCTATCTATCATCTATCTATCTATCTATCTATCTATCTATCTATCTATCATCTATCTATCCACCACATCTGCTTTATGCATTCGTCAATGGACATTTGTGCTCTTTAATTTGTAATATAGTTTCTAAGAGTAAATGCTCAATATTTACTGAATGATTAAATGAACATTAAGAAATTAAGGCCACTAGGAGATAAATAACTTGCACAAGGTCATGTAGGGAATGATGAAGCTGGCAATGAATTTAGCTCTGTAAGACTCTTAGAATTTCAACTCTCTGTTGTATGAAGATGCCTGGCCCCCCAGACCAGCACAGGTTCCAGCTGTCTTCATCCTCTTGAAAGGAAGCAATTGCAAATTTCAGTCTCTCGGTCTTTGACACTACTTCCGCTAGCGGTATAAACAGTGTTTTACAACTGTCAACCAAAACTGCAAGAGCTGCTTGCAAGGTCGTCTCATAGAGTTACTCTATTTGAAAATTGGCACATTTCAAAATAAGTGTCCCTGTAGCCTTCATCAAAGATTTCAAATGAAAAATGATTTGATAAAGCACAATTAAACGTATGTAAACTGTGGCCAAATGATTGCTAACTTGTCTATTAAAAATTATTATATTAGCATAAGACATCACTGAACTTGTGTGTAACTATAGCTCATGGAAAAATAAACATCTTTTTTTTTTTTTTTTTTGAGAAAGAGAGAGTGTACTCACTCATGAGCAGGGGAGGAGGGCTGGGGAGAGGGAGAGGGAAGGAGAGAATCTTAAGCAGGTTCAAGTTCAGTGCAGAGTCCAACATGGGGCTCAGTCTCATGACAGTGAGATCATGATCTGAACCAAATCAAGAGTCTGACATTTAACTGAGGGAGCCACCCAGGCACCTCAACACCTCATTCTTGAACCATGAGCCTGGGCTTCAGGAACAGTCAAGCCACTGCAACCAATGAATCCATTATTGATTAAGATGGTCACATAGCTCTTTATTGCCTTTGAGGAATCCCTTCTTCCAAGGGCCCTTAATAAGGAAACCTCCACCAGAGATCTGGCAGGTAAATGAGGTGTGACTACTCAAAACGTCTACCTATCTTACCAACTCCTCAAATTTCATATCTCGGGGAAACTATCACCCTGCTAAAAAGCATAAATCATTGGTTGTTACTGCTGGATCAAGACTTGGGTGTTGATACCTTTTCCCTGTGCTCAGTCTGGAGTCTCAGCTGGCAACATTTCCCATTTGGTGCTGGAGAAGATAGGAGGAAAGAGGGGAAACTGAGAAAGTGTCCAAACTTAGAAAGCTGCCATGCTGGTAAATGTTCCTGATGAGTGTTCCCTAGAAAAAGTAGTACAATCAAGAATAGGTAGTAAACTGGGTGAAATGACTTACCTTCTTTGTGACTTCACTTCATCTGTAAAACAAAGAAAATGGTAATAACTGACAGATTTGTTATGAAGATCCAGTCATACAACAGATGTGAAAGCACTCCATCTTTCAAGGATGTAAAGAAACAAGGTAATGACAACAGCTTGTTTGGGTTCTATGATCTATTAAAATGTCATGAGCAACCATCTCATTTCATAATGAAAGAATTTCCATACTGGCAGATGTTTCTGATCTCATCCTAGGATTCTGTTTCTGGAAATAGCTATGTCACAAGTGAGGCAGGAGCTCTTGACAATATATAAGGCAGAACCCAAGAGCAGAAAGTCACTTGCTTTGCCTCCATCTGACTGTCCGTGGCCACTTCAGCAGCATGAAAGCGCTAGCCTTTACCCTGCTCTTGGCTTTGGCATTTACAACCATCTTCAGTGAGTATCTTCCTTATAATACCCACCCTGCCCTGATACCAATAGTGCATGTTATTTTCTGCTCACAGGATTCTGGGATAAAAACAGATACATCGATAGTAAGGGAAGCTTTATGAAATGCATTTTTTTGTCTTTACCAATAAATCACTAAATGAGACCATCTCTGGGGCTGAGTAGACCTAAGTGGTTAGATAAGGGCAAATTCTTATCCATATAAATATTTTGTGTAACATCTTTTGTTAAGTGTACATCCAGACTCTTCTTTAATTTGATATCACCATTTATGGGGACGTCATTTCTTCATAAAACAGTCTCATCCATTGTTTGGCAGAATGAACTATCATTATTTTTCCATTGAGTTGAACCCTGCCTCCCTAGAATTTTCAATTTCCATTTATATCTACTACATAATAGCAGACATTCCCTAAATAGAAAAACAGTTGTTTTTCTTTCAATATTTCCTAATCTCTGATTATGAGGGAGGAAAGAACCCTTCACTATTATAATAGTTTCTCTATGCTTTGGCTATGCTCTATTCCCACTCCAAAAAAAGGGGTGGGGGGAGTCTATGCTGAGCTTCAAGCTTTGATATTATATTGATACACAGCTCTGAAGAGAGTCTTATATTTTTGACAGTTTGAGAGCTGAAACATAAACAAAAGAGCATTTTTCTACTAAGATGAGGTTCTTCCAGAGTTTAATTTAGTTTCTCTTGTCTTTGTTTTTCTTACAGATATAGGATGTGCCACACACCCTCAACAGGTCAGTATATCCGTCTTGATCTAAAGGTCCTACTTCTATGTAATTGTATAGCCAGTATCAATGAGGAAATATTTACTATCATTAATTAAATTGCTACATGTTTGAAGAATTTTTAAGTATCAAAACTGGTTTTATTTTTAAAAAACTGCTAAGAGAGCTTTCTGAAATGGACATAATAGAACAAAGTGGTTAGGTACCTAGCATTCGTGTTATAAAGTCCCAAGTTTGTATTCTAGCTCCCTGATTGCGTGGCTGTGGGCAGTAACACTGGTTTCAAAGGCTTATTGTGAGACTTAAAGCCACAATGTTTGAAGAGAGGTGAGCATAAGTACCTGGCACGGAGTAAAGCGCAATAAGGACAAGTCAGGATTGTTGTAATTGTTAAATGGGTCACACACATCTTTGTTCTTTATGTTAGAGAATGAAGCTTTTAATTGAACCTTCCCTTTATGACTCATATTAAGTAATAACTATTGTTGAGAAATTCTAGGTGTGGTAGTAAAAACTTTAAATCAGGAGTCAGGCATTTTGGGTTCTAGACCAAGCTCCATGACTTTTCAGCCGTGTGACGCTGGAGCCTGGGCAGCTCCTTTCACCTCTTTGAATATTTTGTGTTATCTATTAAAGAGAATTATAGGATGCTCTATTCTATTCTCATGATTTAGTAGCTGCTGGAGAATGAAAAAGATTCATGAATAGGAAGCTTTGGAAGTCTCTTGGTCATGTTGTACATATCACATTAAGTCCTGGCAGTGGGGTTTGAAGGCAAGAAGTGAAATCATGTTGTCATATACTCACCAGGGGACACTGTAATTCCCATTCCCTGCCAAACTCCACTAGCCTCTGAGGTCCTCCTGCCATTTTATCATGCTTACTCATCTTCCTATTGCCAGCTCTCAGCTCAGCCCTAAAACTTAGAAGGTGCATGGTGTACCTTCTAAGGGATGAAAGGATTAATTAATGGAAACTAGCTGCAGGGGAAGATGAATTTAACTTGAAGTTTGACTATATTTCATGCTATCCAAGTGGATGCAGATAATCGGCAATTTATAAAATATCACATGTGGAACTCAGAGTCAGAAAAACTGGAACTGTAGAGTCTTCGCTATAGAGCTATAGTTTGTGTAGACCAAGGGATAAAAATAATAGCTATTATCTACTCAGCATTTTCCACATCACATGTATCTTCTTGATTATATATATATTTTTTACTTTAACCTTACACTATAGTTATTATTCTCCTCAATTTGCGGGTAAAGAAACCAGAGCTTAAAGAAGTAAAATGATTGTCCCAGGGTCATATCCCAGAGCACATCAGGATTTGAATTCTGATGTGTGTGACTTTTATTGTCCATCTTCTTCAGTTTGTTCATTGATGAAGAACCCAGAAAACTCTTCCTTGGTGATTGCACCCTTGCTTCTGCAGAGAGCTTTACACATTGGCTTTGCTCCTGGCATTTAGAACAATGGGTCTCAACTCTTACAAGAGTAAAATACCCATTGTCTGTGTGCTCGTTAAGCATGTAAGAACTTGTTACCAATAATTAATGGTAAAAGTTGCTAATGATGTGCTAGTTCTTAAAACTATAGTAGGTATCCCTTATAATACATCTCATACTTGCATTCAGATAGACTTTTTGAGTGAAAGAGAGAAATAGCAGGATGTATATAGGACACGAATCCCATAGGAATGGTTACCTTTGTGAATCTGCCATGGATGTTTCTAAATTTAAATGTTTAATTTTTAAATAAATAATGATTTGGGTACGAGCCACCACAAAGAGGTTTATCACTCATGATTTTATATCTGATGTAAGAAATCTTCATATCTGATATACCTCAAAGGTGTTTGATATGGACAGACTATTAGAATAGGAAGCAAATGATTGGAGAGCCCCCTAAACTTGCTTGGGAAATCCTAAATCCTGGGAATAAAGATTTGGTTGAAGGCTTTGAATATGTATTTCCAGGTTGACTGCAGTAAATATGAGAAGTTACCACAGGGAAAAGAGAGATTTTGTTATGAAATATATGCACCAATTTGTGGATCTGATGGCAAAACTTATGCAAATGATTGCTTCTTTTGTTCTGAAGTTCTGTAAGTATTGAAATGTTTTTCTTTTCTATATTCAAGGTGTAATTATGTGTTATGACAAATATATGTCAATTAGGGGAAGTGGTTTAGGGAATAATGAATATGGGAATATGATGAATATGTAAAATTTAGGGTCCCTAGTGTCATTGGATCCCTACATATCCTGGCAGTGAAGCAAAATATCTCAGAATCTCTAAGTTGGAAGGAAGTTGGAGGGTCACCTAGTTCAACTTCCACCTACTAATCTATTGCTTGAACTCTCTCTACAAAAAATTCAAGTCATCCCATAGTCTGTGCTTGATTATTTCCAAGGACAAGGAATGTCCCTCCTCCTATGTGTGCCAGTCCAGTCATCTGTTAGAATGAACCATATTTATTGTTCAGCTTTAATAACTAAGTTTAGATATGTTAGAACCCCCTAATTATTGGCACAAAAGGTGACAAATATAAAAATCCTAAAGAAATTATTCTGTTTCAGAGGGTGACTTCTCAACAAAGTATATTTTGGAGCTATAATAAAAATTAAATTTGAAAACCAACAGCCAAAATTAGCTTAAAGACTACAAAGTAATCATTTGAAAGATGTGTTAGTGTCAGCTCAAAAAATATAAGGGGCACCTAGGTGGCTCAGTTGGTTAAGCGCTGACTTTGGCTCAGGTCATGATCTCATGGTTCATGGGTTCATGTCCCGTGTCAGGCTCTGTGCTGACAACTCAGATTCTGGAACCTGCTTCCCATCCTGTGTCTCCTCTAGAAAGAGACCCCACTCATGCTCGGTCTCTCTCTCTCTCTCTCTCAAAAATAAAACAAACATTAAAATTTTAAAAATGTGTTTAAATATAAGATGGTACATGATATACTAGAATGTATAGAAACATATAGATCCTTTTAAGTATTTTAAAACACACATGAATGAAAACAAACACCTGATATACATGGCATGTTGTTTTGGGTCTCTCTTTTTTTTTTATCAGAAAAAAATACTTTTATGAAAAGTCATGTTTGATGAAAAGTGCAAAATGTGACTTTTATGACAAAATCATTTATGGAAAAAAGGTTTCTAAACGTGCCTTTTATTAGAAATTCATTAAATATGTTTTCAGGGATATAAACTGATCGTGACATATTTTGAGCATCATCTTCACATAACAAGCACCAGTTGCTCAATTTCTAAATTGCGGTCACTCCCTCCTTTTAAAAACACCAATAAGTGGAGAGACTTGAGTACATTGCTGGGGGGTCATTAGTGAAGCTTAGATGCTAATAAAATTGGCCTCAGCAATTTTCATCTGTTGCTCTTTTCTCTCCACAGAAAAACCAACAACAAACTGAAATTTGTACATTTTGGAAAGTGCTGAAGCTATCTTCTGATTCCAAGTCACATGAAACAAATTTCTTCTCCCATATAACTAACCTATGCCACATTGCCTAATCTTGTCACCAGTGTGTTTTGATTTCTTTGCAGAATAAAGTAGACATATGGGAAATAAATATAGGTCTGACTCTTTTTCTTGAGGAGTTTTTGTTCCAGATTTGCTTTACTTTTGATGATGTCTAATAGATGATGTCTTAGGGCCACATCCAGAGGGAAAACGGTTAATTAAGAACAGTAGTGGGGCACCTGGGTGGCTCAGTCAGTAAACAGCTCAGGCTTATGAGTTTGAGCCCCATGTTGGGCTCTGTGCTGACAGCTCAGATCCTGGAACATGCTTCAGATTCTGTGTCTCCCTCTTGTTCTGCCCCTCCCCAGCCTATGCTCTCTCTCTCTCAAGAATTTTTTTAAAAAATTAAAAATAAAAAAAAAAAAAAGAACAGTAGTGGGGCGCGTGGGTGACTCAGTTAAGTGTCCAACTTCAACTTCTGCTCAGGTCACGATCTCATGGTTTGTGAGTTCGAGCCCTACACCAGGCTCACTGCTGTCTGCACAGAGTCTGCTTTGGATCCTTTGTCCCCACCCCAGCTCCAACTCCAACTCTCCCCCTCTCATACTCTCTCTCTCAAAAATAAATAAAAAAAAAAAAAAAAAAAAAAAAAAGAACAGTAGTGGGAACCAGAAAGTCAAATTACCTGAAGCAGATGGCTTCTTCTTGCCCAAGCTATGAAAACACCCTGGTGCATAACTTAGTTCTTATGTATTCCTAAAACATGAACAGGGAAAGAGGGAGCCTTTAAGCCTAAGACTCAAGAAATACTGTTTTGCTAGATATTTCTTGTTTAAAACATTGAAAGCTGCCCTAGATTGAGACCGCTGTCTAACTATTTCCTACCAGAAAACACGTCTGTAAAATGTGGCTGGTCAAACATGGCCGGTAAAGTTTCGCAAATTTCCATGAATTAGTTGATGTCTTTCTTCCGTGGGTTTTTTTTCTCCCCTAAAGTTTGATCTCAGGCCTAGGACCCGAAGCTTATCTTACATTATGAGTTTCAAAAATATTATTGCATGTTCCAAAGATCGTATTATCAGTTCCAAAGAACAGAGAGTATGCCTGGGCACATATTTGTAATCCTTTTGTGCATCTATCTATGCAATTAACAAATATCTATTAATGCCTACTTTGTGACAATTTCTTTAAATGATATGGGAACAAAGGCAAAAGAAAAAAATTAAATTTCCTTACTGCCTATGTCCATTGACAAGTCCTTGTAACAGGCAGAGTGACAGTCCCCTAGGAGCTCAACTGCCTCAGTGAGGACACCTTGCCTAGGACAAAAAGAAATCTTAGCTTAATATTATCCCGACCCCCCAGGATCCTACTTTAACATTGAAAAATTCCTTTGGAAACTTCCTTTATCTTTATCCCCCAAGATATACGTTGGCAATCATACTCCAAGAGTATGGCCCCCCGATATACATCAGAAGGGTCTCATGACTGAGTTTTTACTAAACAGTAATAAATGACCCTTTCCTAACAGCAGCTAGTCTCTCAAGGTCCTGGAAACCTTATTTGCAAAATTCCTTAGAGACTTGCATTATCCCTAACACCCTCCAACCTGAAGGTATATAACCAGTCACTCTTCACAACCCCAGTGAGCTCTTTCTACCCATGGGTCCTTTAATGAAATGACCTTTTTGCACTGAAGATGTCTGAAGAATTCTTTCTTGGCTGTTGGCCCCAAACCTTACCACTTCAAACCACATCATTATGTATTCTCTAAAAAGGTTCTCCTCTGTATTCATTCATTCACGTAATCCTCCCTGATTTATCAAACATCATCTTATATTCTCATTAATTTGCAAGCATCTCTCTTGCTATATTGTGAGCTCATAGCTGACATGCTGCGGGTGTTCAATTAGTGCTTAATAAATGAACTGACTTAAATGGAGATGAACTGAATTTGACTTCTTTCAACAAGTAAGCGAGGAAACCATGGTGTCCTACCCCAGATAACCCTGGAGTCAGGTGTCACTTCCTGATCCAACTCTCTTACTAGAATGTGTACGGTAACTCTTGGCATCCTTCCCTAACCCAAACTCCGAATGTTTTTTCAAGTCCCCATGAAAAGAATCCACAGACACACAAATAATAGAGCAATGATTGCTTTTTCAGTGGTTGTAGGGGAGTGACCTCCATGGCAGTCACCTTGCTTACCTGCAGCCAGAAACTCCCCGCCACTTCCCTTTCCTCTACAGTCACCTCTTGCCACACTACCCTGTAAGTTCTTGTTATTTGTATCATGAAGAGAAAATTGCTGTAAAATTTTAAAGATGCACAAATAAAATGAAATAAAATAAAAACAATTAAATATGTGGTTGAAACCTGTTGCTAGAACGGAGGCCTACTCACATTCTAAGAAATCTCACTCTGTTTCATTTTTAATTCTTCATAGTTCAGCAAAGTAGGCATTACAATAGCCAATAGTCCTTCTGGGATAGGTCAGTCCTGTCTCTCTCAGAGAACAAAGGTAAGCTGAAGCATTGGCTTTGCAATTTTAATTAATATTACTAGTACAGATCAAGGAAGTGGAAGCCAGATCTATAAAAACATCCCTTTAACCAAACACATTCACACTGACACATGCTGAAAACTTTACAGAATTTCTTAAGACAAGGAACTCGGAGTCAATATAAAGTTAAGCTTTTTGGTGAATACCTGTTTCAACACTGGAAGACAACTACCGAAGTTGTGAAAGATCAACGAACTATCCGATCCTTCCAGTTGCCAGACTTCTAGGTGCTGATTTCCTGGGATGTGAGCCATTTAAGTCTTAAAAATAGGCTCTGTGGCCCAGCCCAGCCCTGTGGAGTTGACTCATCAAAAGAGTAAGACTGGCTCCTGGGTTTTATTCTTGCGCCTCATTGTTCCCGAATCTCGTTCCACAAGCCAAGATCCCACTTCTGACCAAGGCAGCTTCTCTGGCCTGAGGCCCCGCCCCGTAACCCGCCCAGTAGCCCAACCCTCCGGTCTTGCACTCCTGAGCTGTGCTCTTCGTTGCCCGCCTCCTCGCAGCCCTACCTATTCCAGAAACGGAGCCCAGCGGCAGACACCCAACAGTATTGGCGGACGTCTGTTGTGTCCGTCACATTCCTGGTTGGTCCACTGTTTGCGCTTCCTGTCTGGACTTCAGTTCTTTCATGTTTGTGCATGAGGCGCATGGATTGCCTGAACCACCATCTGCTTGCTGCCACACTCTTTAGACAGTAACGTGTCCTGTGTCAGCTGAAATTGTTTGTGCAGCCTCTATAATATAATGGCTAAGACAGTGATCATTTGGCAATATATATGATTACCGACTCTTTATGTTGTATACCTGAAATTAATATGATGTTATATGTCAATTATATCTCACATTTTTTAAAATTCCAAAAATGGAAGGAAAAAACCCTAAGGAATTTAATTTTTTAAAAAAATATTTTTATTTATTTCTAGGAGAGAGAGAGAGAGACAGCGTGAGCAGGGGAGGGTCAGAGAGAGAGGGAGACACAGACTCCGAAACAGGCTCCAGGCTCTGAGCCGGCAGTCAGCACAGAGCCCGACGCGGGACTCGAACCCACGAACCGCGAGATCATGACCTAAGCGAAAATCGGACGCTTAACCGACTAAGCCACCCAGGCGCCCCAAACCCTAAGGAATTTTAAAAGAGAGAGAGAGAGATGTGTGGTTTTGGGGGTAGAGAGCCCTGGAATCAAACCTAGTTTTGCAGCTTGGAGTAAACTTGGGTTACTGGTTGAGCCCGAGTTTCAGTTCTGACATTCAAAACGCCGGCAGCAAAAGGTCCTTATGGATTGGCCTGAGTCTACGTAAACTTCTGATACACAGTGCTGTGCCTGGCACATAATTAGCAAACAATAAATGAATGATTTAAAAAACAATAACAACAGAAGACTATGGTCATCCTAACTTTGATCCCTAAGCACAATGGGTAGCTCTATTTTAGGTCCTAGCTTCTCATTGTCTTCTTCCCAATTCCACCCTCGCACTAGCCCACCCCTTGCCTGACCCCTGTCTGACCCCGTCCAGAGAGAGCATTATGAGTCTCCTGTGAGAGCAAACCATGCTGTTACAGCCACAGAAGGCAGTAGAGTGGTTTGATCACGAGTCAATGAAACTATATTCCCATCAGGGACCTTGGAAAGAGATTTTTGAAGTTACGCTCATTTTAGGATTAAAAAAAAAGAAAAAGATAAGAAAGGAGGAATAATAGGTTATATTAGTAATCCTTTCACAAGGAAACATTTCCCATGATTCAGTGAATGTTTCAAGCCTATTCTAGGGCACTGTTCTGGGAAATCACATTTCTTAATAGAGATGACACATCTGGCCACGATAAAATGCAAGTTTCAAATGGGCTGGGTTGCTAATAGCAGGTCACTTCTCTTGACTCCTACCTTACTGCTTTCAGCAGCATGAGAATGATAGCCGTTTATGATCCTGGAAACTACGCCCAGGAAATTCTGAGACTTTTTCATCTTAAAGATAAACAAGTCTGTTTTCATTTTAATGTATTTTTTACTCTTCATCGAGAAATCATTGAATCACATAATCTCAGAGTTGGATTGTCCAGAAAGCTCATCTATCCGATTTTAAGAAAGCTTCCTGTGAGATTTCTGATAAGCGATCATCATGTAGCTTCTGTTTTGATGCAAACCCTCTCTTGTCAAAAAAGACAGTCAATTCTTGATCTATTTGCATCAATAGGATATTTTTAACTTTGTTGGGTAGAAATCAGCACTGACTAAAATTGCCATTTGTGACTGACACAAGATCTAAATAATGTAAAAATATATCATTTAGTTGCCCATTCCATCTATTTATGGAGTACTGAATAGGGCCTGGCATCATTTAATGAACAAATTCTCATCATTATGATCCCCTTCCTAGTCTCAGTTCTTTTTTCTTGTACTCTATTCTCACTCCAGAAGAGCAATTAAAGCATCACCTCTCTTGCTGAGTGAGTCGAAACTGATCATTACTTCAATTCAAAGCATTGATGGGAAGCGCACGTCATCCAGCACAGATGCATAACCAAAGCAAAAGTC